TTGGGAGTCCCAGCAGAATGAGGTGTAGACTTACTCTGCTTCCCCTTTCTGTGTCTGCAATCCCCGGGTGGAGGGACTGGCAGAGCCCACCCCAGAGCTGGGGCACACGGGCTGCCCAGCGGAACAGCTCAGGTTGGCAGCGCTTCAGAGGGGAAATCCGCAGCTCTTGCAGGACATCCCTGGTGTGACTGTAACCTAGCTGACCGCCAGGGAGCAAGGGAATGCCGTGGGCTAGGAGGTAAGACCTGCCTCAGCAATTCTCCTCTGAGCTGAAAAAATGTGGGAAAGTCATCAGCTAGAGGCACAGAAGGTCCTGAGTAGCAAGAGCCCTGGCTGGCAGGGTCAGCACAGTCCAACTGGGGCTGCTGGGGTCATCCTGCAGCAGCACAAGGCACTACCCCCACCCAGGCAGGGAGAGACCCCCTGCTGCCAACCTCACCAGGGGTGCAGAGAGACCAGCACTGCCATCATCTCCCGAGGAAGGGAAAAGGCACTCTGGGTTTTTGGCTGCCCTGACAGTCACACGGCTTGATCTGCTGAAGCTGATCCCTGTGGCCATGGAGGAGGGAGGAACAACAATTCCCCCCTCCCCAGCACACCCAGCGTGCGCAGTGACGGAAGGGTGAGCCTCCTGTTCCCCCCCATCCCTTACAGAAGGGAGCCTCTGTATGATTGCCTCCAACTCAGCAGGGTCAGCTCCAGAGGCTCAGGGGTAGATCCTGGCTCTGCTGAGAACAGCATTGGGCTGGCACTCCTGCACCCCAGCAGTAACCCCAAACGCTGCGGGCAGGGAGGGGACAGCTCCTGCAGGGACATGGGCTGCTGGCCACAGCTCCCACCAGGAGGGGAGGCACCGCACACCCACGCATGCACACACACACACCCCTGAGGCAGCCAGGGTCTTGGAGACATTCAAGGTGGGGGAGTCACCAGCAGAGCCCTATTTGGGGGTCCCCACCATGAGCCTGCCTCCTGTCGGTTCAGGCCATAGCCAGGCCCTCCACATGCCTGTGGATGTGGGCAGTGCTGGACACGCCGCTCTCGCCTTTGTAACTTTTTGGGGCCCGGCTGGAAGAAGGTGTCTGTGGAGATGGCCCCAAACTCAAAGCTGAAGGTACCATAGAAGACCAGGACATCAATGATGAACATCCACTCACACAGGGCAGCCACGTGCTGCAGCACGAAGCTCTCCTGGATGAAGAACACCCCACCTGAGGGCATCTCTGTCAAGGAAAGCACAACTGGACCCCAAGCACCCCATGGAGGACCACATCCCACTGCCACTGCACGCAGGGGTGGTCGCAAGCAGGCCCCCTCTGCAGGAAACACACCACTGCCCCTAAAACCAAGAAACCGCACATGCTTCCTCCAGCACCAGCAGAGCCCCGGCGCAGGTGAGGTGGTGGCATACATGCCCAAACCAGCCTTGGCAGATCACGGGACTGATGCCAGGCGGGGATTTTCAGAAGAGGCCGAGGCAGGGGGAACTCAGGCTGCAGACCTCAAGGCAAGCCAGGTGCCCGCTGCCTCAGCCACCCCACACCCCTTGCCTCTTCCTCAAACTGGGCTGGTGCTCCCCATACTCCAACGGGATGCAGTCAAAGTCGATAAAACTCATCAGCCCTCCACCCCTCGGTAAAGGGGTTTGGGTTGGTGTGTCCCAGCCCCGCAGCTCTTGCCGGCCGCCTGCCTCATCCTGACAAGGGGTTCTGCTCCCTCTCCTCCAGGTCCTACCGTGGCCAGAGCTTCTTGAAGCTTCTTTCATCCTCACTGTGGATCTCTAGGGAAACCTACTGCCAGAGCTACCCCGGGTGAGGGGAGAAGGCAGGTACATCCCCCAGCCCTGCAGGTGAAGCCTCCAGCAGTACCCCACCTTCTGCCAGCGAGACCAAGATCTGGGAGAGCCGGAGAGGCAGTGACCTGTCCCACACAAGGCAGAGCCCTCTGCTCACTCCCCAGATCCCACGAGGAGACATTCCAGCCCTTAAACCTACATTGCCCCCACCACAGCTCCCTGCTTTCCCACTTCCAGTCCCCAGTGCCTGCAGAGGAGTATGGTCACAGCAGATGGGTCCTGTCTCCCTTGTCCTTACATGCCCTGCCTGTCCCTCCCAGCTAGCACAGCCTTGCAACACTCCTGCTCTTTGCAGCTTCCTGCCTGCTTCCTGGCCTGCCTGCCTGCTGTGGTGACAGAGCAGGACACTCTGGCAGACCCCAGGCTCCCACTGCACTGCTCGCCCCAGCCAGCCCCTTTGGGACCCACAGACACTGCATGCTTTTTCCTCTTCCTGCCCAATAACCACCACCTTGTTTTCCAATTTATCTCTAACCTCAGTCCCAAACAAGCCCCTGGCTCCCCGCCCACACAATCAGGACCATTCTTCTAGTCCCGCTCCACCTGCTGCTGTGCCCTCCCTCCCCAGCAAGGTGTTTGCATATCCCTGCAAGGGCAGTTTGGCTGGCGGGTGCCGATGACGCCGGGTGCCGATGAGCCCGGGCTGCCAGAGGCACTGCCGCACACCCGCCCGGCACCCGCACAAAGCATTTTTGTACTCTGCTTCAATCATATAGGTAACTCAGGTGCACTTTGCATTGCCGTGGGCTCAACATACCTTTGTCTCATTAAAAAGAACAATTAACTGGTCCTTCCACTCTGCAAGGTGTGGGGCTGGAGCCTGCAGTGGTGGCTGGGCTGCCGCAGCAGCCAAGTTTGGGGCACCCCACCTCCCCAGGAGATGCCCACCAGCATCCCTTCCCCTCCTTGGCCCCCACATGGCCCTGATACTGCTGCTTCTCCAGCCCACTGCTGCAGGGAGCTGCCCGCTCTCAGCCCCCTGCCCAGCCCCTCTCCTGGCACCATGGTGCACTGCCTGACCGAAGGATGGAGGATATGGGGTGCATGCTCCCTGCAAGGACCACCTTTCACCAGCCCATCCCGGATCTCCTCCCCACCCCTTCAGAAGGATACTGAACACGAGGGTGATGAAGGCCATGGCAGTGAGGATGCTACGTAAGTGTCCAGTCCAGTACTGCCCGCGGGTTTTGGCCATGCGGTAGGTGAGGACAGACTGCAGGAGCAGGAACAGCATGCTGGTGGGAAAGGCCACCCCCGCCCCAATGTAGTGCAGCACCTTGGCGTGATCCACCTGCAAGGGAGAGACCATTGGTGCTGGTACCCCAGGACGCTGCCCTGGCACAGCTCTGCTCCCGTGGGGTGAGTTGTGTCCAGGCAGGGGCGCAGGCTCTGCCAGAAGCGGGTCCAGACCTCTCACCCCATGCCCAGCTCCTGGCTGAAGAGCAAATTTGCACCCACTGTCTGCTGCTAGGATCCCAAAGTGCTTCTTTCCTTCATCCATGGGGTGGTAGCTCCCGAGCCCCCATTGGGCCAACAACCCTGCCATGCCCGAGGGCATGGGACAGGGCTGCTCTCTGCCTCTGGGCATCACTGGGGCTGCCCACACCTCCTCTGTGGGTCACAGCCCTGCCTTCAGCAGAGCCACTGAGCCACAGCTGGGGCACAGGG